CATGTATTGTGCTGTACGGCATTTCCAACATTCCATCGAAGGAAGAGAATTCACGCTTTTTACCGATCACAAACCTCTTACCTTCTCTTTAACTTCATCTTCAGACAAGTACTCACCGCGAGAGTCTCGACAACTCGACTACATTTCGCAGTTTACTTCAGACATACAACATATTTCTGGAGCTAACAATGTAGTCGCAGACGCCTTGTCTCGAATAAATTCCTTGAAGTTTCCAAGGAATCGACCTTCTTAAACTCGCTCAGCTTCAAAAAGAAGACATTGATCTTCAGCATGAGTTATCCTCGACAACTCTAAAGCTAAGTATTAAGCAGATGGGAACAGGTAAGGAAACCTTACTCTGTGACACATCTACAGGTAGGGGACGTTCAATTGTACCAAAACATTATCGCCGCAACGTCTTCAATACGTTGCACAATCTTTCTCATCCAGGTGCTCGTGCAACAATGGAACTTATAGCCGAACGCTTTTGTTGGCCTGGCATGAATAAAGACGTGATGGAGTGGGCACGCTCCTGTGTAAGCTGTCAGAAACCTAAGATAATCATAAACAATAAATGACCCTTAGGTTCTTTCAAAACCCCGAACGCTCGTGTCGACCACGTCCATATAGATTTGGTAGGACCCTTACCCGACTCGAACGGATACTCATATCTCTTAACATGCGTAGACCGTTTCACTCGATGGCCAGAAGCAGTACCAATTAAGGACATTAATGCTGAAACCGTGGCCCGTGCTTTCGTCGAACGATGGGCAGCAAATTTCGACTGCCCTTCCACAATCACTACAGACCGCGGACTATAATTCGAATCTGGACATTTCCGTTGTCTCACCTCACTTTTAGGAATCACGCGCTTCCGAACGACCGCCTACCACCCACAAGCAAACGGGTTGGTAGAACGTTTTCACCGACAACTAAAAGCTTCATTATCAGCTTCAAACGTTTCACAGTGGACAGACGCTCTTCCACTCGTCTTGCTAGGCATCCGCAATGCAGTGAAAGCTGACATTGGATACACGGCATCTCAACTCGTTTACGGAACGACACTCCCAGGAGAATTCGTGGATCCTTCAGCTTCTTCATTGAACATGGATCTAAACTTTTACACGAGTAAGCTTACAAACGCTATGCGTTCAGTTAAACCTGCTCACACTCGACCTCAATCAACTGATGTTTTCGTTCAACCCGAATTACGACATAGTACACACGTCTTCGTTCGTCGAGACTCACATCGACGACCCCTCGAGTCCGCATACGAAGGAACCTTCAAAGTTCTTCAACGCGAACCTAAGTACTATGTGTTGGATAAGAACGGTACGAACGATAGCATCAGTATCGGTCGACTCAAAGCAGAGTACTTAGAAGGAAATCCTAGCTACGTCGATTTTACTTCGGTACAAGAAAACGACACAGCCACTACACTCGTAGTACTCTACACGACAACCGACACACAACTTTATACTTCGTCAACAACGATAGGTAAACCTAAAATAACGCGTTCTGGAAGACGAGTAAGATTTCCAGAACATCTTAACGAATATTGCACGTAGGACATAAGCTTTATCTTGAATTACCCTTTCATAGTTTATTATTAAAAAATTTTTTTTTATATGCTCATTTTTTTATTTATATAAAAAAACAAAAAAAACAAAACATTTTTTATCTTTTTTTTGAGCGTATATATATATATATATATTATATATAAAAAAACAAAAAACAACACTTCCTGATCGCTTTTACGCTGTTGGTAAGTGTATCAGTTTATTTTTTTCCCGCTCATCTTGTGTCCCTACGCAAGTACGAGTGTATTTTCGACATGCACTGACACGTTTTATTTCTACTCTTTTCCAGGATGGCTGGAAAAGAACGACGAAGTTTCGCAAGGAGCCGAAATTTTCATTGTACTATATTTCTTTATTGCTATGTTGTACATTTTGGTCCCATAGTTTAAGGAAAGACGACCAGAGGCTGCTAAACGAAGCAAGCTATCAGAAGAGTGTTTACCAACGACAAACTCGTTGGGTTTAAACTTCTGGCTGGTCACGTCTTAGGGGCATCACTACCTCACTAGGGGGGGGAGTGATCTGTAGCTGTAAATAATTCCCCAAAATCAATAGTTCATTAAGTGTTCGAAATTGGATGCTGATCATGTTGTTTAAGTGGACTTGTTTAGCTGAAGGCTTTCGGTCATGCATCCGCACCAGATCACGTTTCGACTCGGCGTGGGACACAGCCCCTACGTTTCATTAGCCAGCTCATAGAAAATGTTCTCGATATATTGGTAACGAATCAAATATATCTTTCTTGCCTCTTCTCGTCTGACTTCTGATTTCTATCTGACTGGGAACGATCGACCATAGAAGGTGCTACTGGTAACTAGTTGTAAATTTAGAACATCCGTTGCATCATCAAAGTTATTAGTTTCTTGCACATTTTCATATATCGTATTCCGACTTTGGATTTTAGTTCTCCCTTCCGTATGTCTAGGTCGTTGTTCGTGCACCTTGCTATGGTCGATTGCATTCTCCAATCGAACGTCTGTTTATTTTTATCGTTGTCATCTTTGGTTGTTTCATAGCTTTTGTTAACAGTCATTGCAATTCATTTACTTTTGTTTTGAAGGATGATCTGACTCTTCTGGATCCGTGTGATACGCATCTTATAACCTCCTGTTTCGCTTCTGTGGACAGTATCAGTGCAACTCATTGTATATGCGAGCCATTCATTTCTTCATCATCAGAATGTATGATTTCTTGCGAATCTTATTGTTTCTGTTAAACATGGGTCCTGTGGGTTCCACTGACTCCGATCATAGTGAAGTTATATCTCCTCGTTTACGTAGTCATTAGATTGTTCCTGTATGTCCTCAATATTATTAGGACATCATATGTAAATACATATATAAATTGTTGCTCTAGTTGTCAGTAAGAGTTTATATATATGAATACAGAAGAATATCGACCTTCACCTTGATGCACTATAATTCTTCTAAATAAAAATTCCTCAACTCCCTTGTCTGAGGTGTTCAATATGTGACGAAGATACAGACCTAATGACTGTCTCTTCTTCCTTTTGTCAAGACTTGAAACGGAAATAAGTACCAGGAAAACCACAGGTTGAACGACTTTTATTACAATCTCATCCAAATTGAACTTTGTAAGGAATCGAGTTACCTTCTTGTGCAGAATTGAATGTCATATCAAGGTCACTAAGTTAGGTATTCATTAAGGCATTATCAAATTATGACTTAATGGTCTGCGATTCTGATAATAAAGTTCGGCAGAAGCTGAAGATTTACTTCAAGAGATGCACTGGAATACTTCCTTATTCTATGGTTTCTCTTGACTCATCTAGGTTTGATGTCCTTCTGATAGTGAAAATTTGTTAAAGGATTGTAGTTTTATTTTTCGCATCCAGTGGCTTAGCTTTTTTAGATGCATTGGACATTGTGGATAGAAATGAAATCATAGAGTTCGTGTACTCTCACCAAATATTGTCCTCTGGTTGGTTTTATTATAATATTCTGTATTAATTTTCAGACTTCCAAGATAAGAAAGGTGGATTCAGAGGTTCAAATCTCATCGGTTGTTCTTCAGATCCTGAGGAAGTAAGACTCTAGTTAAATGAATACAAATCTAGCTAAAGTTTCCGAGTAAATCCCATTAATGTTGAGCAAAATTGTTGACATCTATATGTGTAGTTTGATGTCATTTTTCTTTCCTGTATCTACTATCAAGTTTTCTAGTCATGGAGCTTGTTCACAGCCCATCTTATGTGAGGTATTTTACGTCCATGAAGTTGGACTGCTATGCAAATTTCAGTCATCAAACAGCTCCTCAGCAAACTTTATGTTTATCTATCTACCTATTACATCAGGTTGGCCTTGCGGCCAAGAACGCTTAGCTTGATACTCATGGATATCTGGATTTTTGCCTGCTTGAATTTTACTTATCAATCACCAATGGATATCCACTTTCAGAATAACTCTCCACTGTATAGTACTTATATTCTCTCAAAATAAACTCCAAATACCCTGATTTAGAATGCTGCTAAAACATAAGTATTTGTTATGTGTTTATTCACTAGTCTAGGCTTTCTCTATTATAGTAAAATTAATATTTCCTTTTTACGTGGTCTTGTGGAGCGTTTCTCACGATTGCAAATTTCAGGCGGTTCGATAAATTCGTATTTTTGGAAAATATAAATTTAAGTATAAATCATGATTAGGCGTTTCGAAATATTGAATTCAAGGGAGATTTCCTCGATTATAAGTAGCTTGATTACTAAAAAACGTAATTGGGTTCGTAATTTTAGTGAACTCTCCATCAAATCAGGATCCATAATGTTAAAGTTTATAATCGATAAAAAACGGACATTTACTTAACTGCTCTTGTCATATATCATAGTCCCCGAGGGCTTTTACTTTAATACAATCGATAATAAAATGTTCATACCACTTAACAAGTACTGTGTGAATGTAGTAATGTGCAGGTATATGCATTCTAAATAGGACGGTTATTTCTGAAAGCCATCGTGGAATTTATTTATTAAAACATAAATATTGGTACAGAGGGTTAACAGATACATATGCACCTCACAAAAAATGTCATTTCATCTAATTGTGTGAGGGCTGTGATACTGCCCAGGTGCCCAAACTGAAGCAGGTGGTTTTCTTAGGGGGCCACATCCGAAGCCTTTGACCTAAAGGTCTGATCCATAAGGCGGTGGAGTATCGTGAAAAGATGCAGTCCCATGGTAGCCGGAGACCAACGATTGGTTCGTACGCCATTTGTTCCCTCAGGATACTGGAACCCATGTACACCATTGGTTTGGAATCAGTTTTCCAACTCCCCTAGGTGAACTCCCTATGTGCACCAACCCGGTTAAAGCGTCGGACATT